CCGAGGACCGACGACCGGTCTGAGCGGCCTCTGAACAGCCTGGGGGGGGGGATGGGGGAACTGCCCAGACTCGCCCATGGATTCTTCCTCCTGGGGCTCTCAACCCACAGCCCCGGAAGTGGATCCCTCTTCCAGGCTGCAGCCTCCCCCCTTGGGTGGCTGGACATGGCTGGATAATCCAAAATAATTCCTTCTTGGCAGGCGGCCGGCGGGGGAGGGGGACTCGAATTCCAAACCCAGCTTTTCTCAGCAACTTCCCTCCCCTCCTGGGGTGAGGAACTCCTGGCCAGACCTGAGGCTTCCTGCCACCCTCAGACTGGGCCCCCACTAGGTATGGTGGGAGGAGGTGGGGGGCTTAGATCTGCTGAGCCCACCTGCTCCTGCTCAGTCTTCTCTGGGAATTCCAAAAAGCTGTCACACCACAAAAATACCCAGCAGGCTGGGCCCAGCCCCTGCTGGTCCTACCCTCCTGGGGACCCTCAGGGCAGAAAAGGCAAAGCCCCTCCCGCCCTCTGTCCACCTCTCAGGCCCTCCAATGGCTCTCCTCTCCAAGCTAGGGTAACATCAGAGCATGGGGTGGGCTGAGAACCCCCCCACCTCTTGGCTGCGGAGCTCTCCCACTCTCCACAGGACATAGCTCTGGGAGGGGGGTGGAGCCCAGAGGCTGAAGTTAGACATGAAAGGGGAGCTCCCTAGAGAGCCCCTCAAGCCCCAGAACATTCCACCAGCTTTGAGGCCCAGCCTCACCACCCAGTCCTGACCCCCACCACAAGCCACGGTGGACACAGGGACCCCTTCACTCCTTTTCCAAGTTGCTGGGAAGAGAAGCCTGTGAGATGGCAGGAAGCTCTGGGGCTCTTGAGCTCAGGGGCCCCTCAAGTCGGCCAAGCAGCCTGAGCACAGAGCGGTGGGAAAGGCCTATCCGAGACGGCTTCCTGAAGGAGGAAGCATATAGAGGTGAAGGGCCAGAGGGTGAGGGCCCAAGCGCTGAGCACACCCCCACCCCTGCCCAGCTCCGAGACTTCCTGGGCCCCTGGGTGTCCACCCAAGCGCCACACCAACAAACCACAACAGGAACTGTCCAACCAGGCCCAGGGCCACCAGGACTTCCAGATGCCAGGCTGGACCGCCCCCCGGCCCAACTCAGGACCCCGCACCGCCTTCCAGCCTGGTCAGGCCTAGCCCAGACCCTCCTGGCACAGAGCCCCAGGAAGTGTGTGGGGGACGGGGAGCCAAGGCCTGAAGACAGGTCCAGCCCCGTGGGAAAAGCCCGGCTTGGCCACCCTAAAACCATGGCTGGGTGGGTGGGCCCGGGAGCTCTGGCACAACTCGGGCGATCTCTGCCCTGGGCACGAACCTCAGTGGCTGAAGAGACGGGGGCACGGGCGGGGAGAGGCTCGGGAAGCAGAGCCCGAGCGAGAGGCTCCCGGGGACGGGCGGCGGGAGGGGCCGCGGAGCCCCGCT